GGGAATTAAACAGTGTGGTCTCTGGATGGCATCCTAGGACAAAAAAAGGCATCAAGTAAAAATAAACTACGCATGTTAGTTAATAACAATGTATCAGTGCTCACCTATTAATTGTGACAAATATACCCTATTTGGGTAACATGTTAATAAAAGGAGAAACTCTGCAGGGACAGAGGCTAATGTGTTAAGCATACGCTCGTTTTTTCTTTAAATCTTAAACTGTTCTAAAAAGTAAGGGTTTAAAAATAATTTTTTTAAAAAAAGTGTCTAGAGGCCAGAGACAGAAGTCAGGCCCTCCCTGTCTCTTGCTGGTCTTCAACAGTAGCTTCCATGGGCTCTATGAAGAAATTAATCCTGCCACCAACGTGGAATTCTGATCCATGGGATTTATGAGATAATAAACGTTTGCTGCTTTAAACTGCTAAAAAAAAAAAAAAAAAAAAAAAAAAAAAAAAAAAAAAAAAAAAAAAAAAAAAAAAAAAAAAAAAAAAAAAAAAAAAACCAAGCCAAAACAAAGCCAAACATAAACATTTCAGGAGAGAGTGAATGTGCTCAAGAAAACTAAGCGAAAGTGTAGAAAGTGCCCGGGTGTCTTCATTAAAGTGGGTAGTTGAAGATACTTCTCAGAGAGGGATTGGTGAATGGGAATCTGAATCTAAAACATATTCCGGGGAAAGCTCTATGGGTCAAAGGATCAGCCAGGCCCACGGCCTTTCAGTAAAACGTTGTGTGTCCAGGGTAGAGTGGCAGAAGGATGACAGCTGGCATGAGCAAGTCTTTGTTCCAGATTTAACTATTTCTGGATTAAAGAGGGCAGCTCACACTCTGTGAAATAACTAGCAACCAAAGCAGTTGCAGGGGAAAGAAGAGAAAAAGAGGTGAGAGTAGCCAGATCAGCCAGGTTATAAAGGGCCTCTAAAAAAGCATAAGGAATTTGGATTTTATTTTCAGTTCAACTGCAGGCTGCTAGACCACTGACAGCAACAAGTGACATCTAATTTATGGCTCGAAAACATTATACTAAGTGCTCTGTGCAGGGCTGATACAGGGTGGCCAGAGTGGGGTCAGGGCAGTCAGACAGGAAGCTTCAGCATCAGCCCAGATAAAAGATGGTGGAGTCTTAGATCTGGCTCAGGGAGAAAGGACAGAAGACCTGTAGTAAGTGTTGAGTGTTGGAAGTTTGCAGGGTTCTTGATGGGGTGGCAGGGCCTGGAGGTGTACCGATTATCTGCAGACCTGTCTGTGACCCTGAAGTGCACCCAGGGAAGGGGTCACAAGGGACCGTGGCACTCACACACTCCCTCAGCATGCAGTCTTTCCCTGTGTCACCCTGTTCCCGAACTTCTGAGAATCACTGATGATTCATCAGGACAGCTGCTGGCACCCAAATGGTGCTCTGCCAGTCTGAGCTAGATCTTCCCTGGAGGCTCTGCAGAAAGGGAAACTGGATCCCCACAACCTCCCCCAGCCTCCTGGCCAACAAAACCATCCTGCTTCATGAATCGCTTCCTCTGAGTTGAACACTAATTAAACCATTAATTATTTATTTCACAGGGTGTAAGATGTCCTCTCTTTAACCCACAAGTAGTTAAATCTGGAGCACAGAAGTGCCCATGCTGGCCCTCATTATTCATATGGGAACAGAGAAAAGGCTGTGAATAGAATTCTTCCATGTTTATTCTGGCCTTGGCAGTTTTACCTAAAGTAACCTGCAATTCCATCTTTGGACTCCTGACTCCAAGTGGACTTTTTTCATTCTTTTTTCTAACTGGCCCAGGCCTGTCAAGCTCTTGACACTGCTGCTATTGGTCTCTCCTGCTTGTCCCACTTGCAGCCCGATCTAACTCCTTGGGCACCTATCTATGCTTACAGACACCTGAGACCCCAACCTGGGAGAAGTCTGAGGCTGTGGGGCATTTTCGGGGGGGGGAGGGTCTCACCTTGCAGAAAATGTCTGCAGTATGAGTGACTGATTGTTTCCTTGTGTCTGGGAGGTGGCTATCACAGGTGGCTGATTCTCCAAGTTCTTCAATAGGTCAAGTGTAGATGAACCCCTAGGGGGCAGGGACAGGCCCGGTTATGGGAAGAGTGGGTGTTGAAATGTCTCCTTAACACACAGGCTTCCTCAGGTCAATGACTCACTTCTGTGGTGCCCGACCTCTCAGTTTAGCTCCCACAGCTAAGCAGGGCTGGGGAATGCACAGCTTGCTCCTGAGTCTGTTCCCTCCCCAGTTCCTAATGAAATCAAGTTCCTGGGTCAGCAACTGGCAGCTGGCTTCGGGACATCAGAGGCTGAACAGCCCAGTGAGAATGGTCTCAGGTGTGAGACTCCAATCCCCTGGAGCTTCATCTTGCAAAAAAAAAAAAAAAAAAAATCTAAACCACCACTCAAGGCACAACAGCAAATACCTTTGCTCACGCCTGGCCTAATGGTACCCACGAGTGTATGGATGCCACCTCTTTCCCAGGCTCTTTCAAGAAGATATCACTTAACCGAGGGACAAGGCTATCAAAGCTCCCGGTTGGAGGAGAAGGCTGCAAGACCTGTGAACACGGATTCCCTCCAGCCTGGACATTCACACAGATAACATAGTTCCTAAACAGCAGCTTCCCCAAAGCCTGAGTCACAATAGCACTCTGTCACAAAGTATGGCTTTGCCATTTTTTAAAAAATGTAGTGCGTGTCCAAGAAGAGCAAATTTCTTTGGGTGCCCTGGTAATCAGGGCTTGGGTGGGCCTTCCCAGCAATGCCAAGGTCCATGAGCACTACTCTACCTCTTTGTGTATAAGGTTTAGAGAAATAGTCATAAAAGGTCAGGTTAAAAAAATCAGGAGAGACCCTGACCAATCAGTGAGACACTAGTTCCATATCACATTGGAACTGGAAAAAACTCTAAAGTTCTACTCTCTCACTGGTTCTTGGGTCTGTTTACATTTGAGGATCACCCTAGAGACCTAGCTTGGCTGGTCAGAGATGGGGTGGGGAGATGGGGAGCAGCATCAATTTTCTATAAAGCCCTCCAGGTGGCTCTCCCGCGCAGCAGGTAAGACCCACTACCCGGGCAAGCAAAAAACAAGGTTCTGCTCTTTTAGCCTGTGTGGAGGCTGCAGATTCCTCATTGAGCCCCGGGATTCTGGCTAAGATGGCTCAGAGCCCCGGCTTCAGGGTGGTAGCTCAGCAGTGGCTCTTACCTAACCCAAGGTCTCAGGTGAGTGAGAGATGACCCGGTGACCTCACAGTAGTCACAGCTGTTGGCCCAGCCACTGTCACTCAGCTCTGGACTATTTTTTATCTGATGTGTGGGGCAGGGGGAAGATAAGCCAGCCAGCGCTGTTCTGGCCCCACATCTGCAAGCTGGCTGAAGCAGTATGGAAGGAAGGAAGCTCTCAGAGAATTGAATTGTCCTGGGCTTAGCGCCTGGGCAAGACCTGGGCCCTGTGCCTGCCTGAAGAGAAGGCACAGAGTGGAGCAGGTGCCCAGAAACTGCAAATGCCAGGAAAGAGAGGGAGATGAAAACGAATCAGCCCCCAGGGCTCCCAGATTCCTGCTCAGCCCAGGCCTATTTGCTTAGCTTTTCTCCAACTCCTGGGAGATCTCTCCAGAGCCATAGGAAAGCCCATCTGCTGGAGCTTTCTTTATGGCTCCAAAGGTGACTTAAAGGAGCCTTACTCCAAACACAGCCACACCCCTTTTGTACATTTAGGGGTCCAACTAAAGGTTGACTTGCAGAGGGGGATATAAGGAGAATTTCACTGATACAACACAGAGTGGAATTGGTGGGCTAGCTGGATTGGTATTTCACCAAAGGGACAGTCGAACAGAGAAGGTGACTGTGGCTGATTCACACAGCCTCACTGTAGGAGACCAGAAGAGTGTGGGGATTGCTGTGAAGATCCATATATCCCCTCTAAACCCCAGCCTCTGCCATATCTGCAGGCATGGACCCAGCAGAGGCAGCTCTGACATGGGACATCTCGATACTGATTGGAAAGCCCTTGCTTGTCTGGGTACTGAATGAATATCCTTTAAGGAAACAGTGAACCAGCAGGCCCCAAGTCAATCCTACAAAGATCCCCTCCCACAATCAGCTGCTCTGGTTCCAGGGATCTCTCTGTGCACTGAAAGGGCCAAGTCTCCTTTTCCTCCAGCCAGATCCATACAAGGAGCCAGCATGGCCCAGGCCTCCACCTCCTACCTCTGCTCAGGAACACAGAGCCTGGCTGTTCACAAAAGGGACCTAGGTTGGGCATTTGCTCAGGGGCTAGAAGTCCAACTGACATTTGTCCCCATGTCTAGTACTCATTTCCCTTCTTTCTATAAGTATTCCTAACTCCCTCTGCCCAAGCTCCATTCCCCACATAACAAGGTCCACATAACTCATCCATCCACCTCTCCCTGAGCATCCAAACCTGCAGCTCTGGGCTGTGACTCCAACCAGGAGACTATGAAGTTTGGTCTAGCTCTGATGGGAAAGGAGAGACACAGTAGATGGTGGGACTTTCCCTTCCAATGGCAGGAACCTATTGTACTTAGCTACACAGTTTTCCTTATGTACAATCCCTTTTAAGGCTGCCAGGTTGGTACCATGACCACCATGATGATAGAGGAAGTGGGACAGACAAGACAGGGGTTGGCCCATCCCATCATTCTTATTTTCATTGAGGAGGAAGTTTGGAGAGGCATAAATTGAGGGAAACCATAGGCCTTTGGAGAGGACACTAGCTTCTCAGGAAGCACCTCCCTCCTTGCCCTACACAAAGGCCCAGGGCCTAGGTATATAAATATCTCAGTGCCTCCTGGGTTCCTTGTCCTCCAGGTCTGAGATCTGCAGATGCCATAACACAAGTCTCCTAACCCTAGAGTTTCTCTTCCATGCCAGGCAGTCAGATCCTAGAAAGTGAGGACCACATCTTTTTCTCTTGCATCCCTTCTGCCATGCCCAGAACTCCAGGAGCCAGGACCTTTCCACCCCATCCCATCCCTGAGCCTGTGTCCTTACCTCCCATGAGGAAGAGAAGGCCCGCCACGTACTGCATAAGGCCTCTGTCCCAGCAGCAGCCCAGCACGCCGATGATCCAGCCAAAGAGGATGATGGCCACTGCCATGCCCATGAAGCCGGCCGTCATTCTGCGCAGGTCTGTGGGGGAAGCAGGTAGCAGTGGTGAGCATTGGAGGCTGGGACTCGGGGTCCATGCACACTATCCCTGGGCTGGGATGGAGAGGAGGGCAGGGCACTGAAGGGGCAGGAAGGCTCCTGCCAGCTAGAGCCCTGTGCAGAGAGAGACCCCATGGCCGCTCTGTCCTGTGCACAGAATGCCAGGACAGCAGGGTTGTTCAGCATAGGGAGAGCTCAGCACCATGCATTTGTCATTGCTTGTGCACCTCACATGTGCCAGGCAAGTCTGTCCTCCCCATGGGTCTATGTCATTCTTGAGGGGCTGGTGCTGTCTTTATCCCTCCCTGCAAAATGGAACAACGTGCTAAAAGGCACACAACTAGTAAGCAGTTGAATAGAAACTCAGACTGGTCTGGCCAACCCCAGCAGGAGCCAGACTCTCAGAGCGGGGAGAACCAGGGAAACCGGCTGTGCGAGCGGAGCAGGGTCTCACCAGTCGGGCTACACCTGCCCACACCTGCCTCCTTCCTCCCGGGGTCTGGTGGGCTCTCAGTTGTGAAGGAAGTGTTGGGCTGGTGCTTCCTGCGCATCCCTGCTCAGGACCCATCAGACAAAGCCTGGGGTGGCTTGAGGAGGAAGGGGACTGCCTGAAAGGGCAGTATTTTTAGCAGAAGAGACAGGGCAGAGCTGCTGCTTGGGCTCCGCTGGCCACTCAGCATCTTGCTCAGCCCACTTCCTCCCTGGCCCCTGCAGTCCTGTGTCTGGAGGAGGCTGCCAGAGCTGCTCACACAGGTCGCCCCAGCCTGGGTGGTCTCCCTGCAAGCTTTCCTTTCCTTTCCTCCCACTCCCCTTCCCTAGAACCAGCTTTCCTGCTGGAAGACCCCGCCCCCATCAACTGGCCACTCCCTCCGCTTGCCCCAGTGCCACCTGCAGCTCTCTCTCAGCCACCTGTACCTGAGCCCATGCAACAGCCTCAGCCCATTAGCAGAGCTTCAAATGGAGCAAGCCATCTGCCTGGTCCTTTCCCCAAGGTCTGGCTCCCGCAGGGTTCAGGAAGGGCATGGCTGAGCAGTCTGGAGGTCCCCAGGGCCATCTCCTTTCCAAGCAGGGGGTGAAGAGTGAGGTATAAAGGAGGGTGTCACCACCCCATAGGAGCACACAGGGAGCTGGACAATCTCATCTCACTGTAGAGGAAGAAATGCCTGAGGTTTCTGCGCGGAATGCCCGGGAGTCTATGTGCTTCCAGAACAATCAGGCCAGCCCCTCTGTTCCTCTCTCACTGCAGCCACCCCTACTGGGGACCACGTGGAGCCAAGTAGAGGACTCCTATAAAGTGTGGCTGGAGTCCCTCTGGTGCAGAGTTCTGGTTTCCTTGTGCAGAGTTGGACGATCAGACGTCAGTCCAGGGAAGAAGCTGGCTGGGGGTGGGGAGGGGCAGAGAACAGAGGGAAGGACAGTGGCTGCCCCTCCCCTCTGGTGAGACAGAGCCAGAGTCACAGAGGCAGCAATCCTGGGGTGGGTGGGGGTGCCTAGAGAACTGCCCAGCAGGTCTCTGCCCTGCCCCAGCTGCCTCAGCACACCTGCCTGGGGCCCGGTAGTAGTAACACTCACTGCAATTCCTTCTTCGAACAGCCAGCACTGCTCAGTTACCACTCAGCTCTGTGCTGATTGCTTGTGTCACCAAATAAGTCAGATGAAGCTTGGTCAAAAGCATTATCTAATCACAATACTAATACCCCAGCCAGCCTGCAGTAAGGGAAAGGAGGAGGGACCATTCCTCTCCACCAGCCAGTCCCAGTGTTACAGAACCACCCATGGCTAGCATGTCCCTCTCTTCTCCCCCAATATGCTTACTGCCATCAGCCCTGCTCTCAGTCCCTTCTTTCTTCACCACAAGGGACTTGAGTGAATGGGGCCTAAACTGCCTTAAGGGGACAGGTCCCACAGGACATGTGAGCCCATTGATTTCTGGAAATGGGACACTCTTTGTGATCAATACTTTTCTCCCTTCTGTCTTGAAGGGCAAGGAGGAGCTAGAAGGGAAAGAGAAGCAGTGACTTCCAGCATAAGATATTTTCCCTTTGGGAGGTTCATATGCTCTGCTGTAGGAGGTAGAGTTGGCATATAATTTCTGGGCCATTCCCTTTTTGGTGCAGGAGGGCTTCCAGTGGGGGCAAGGGGGTTCTGTCACCCCTGGCAACAGTTGAGACACACAATCCCCCCCAAGCTCCTCTGCTACAGGTCAGACTTGAACTTGGTCCCAGGCACTAAGGATCTGTCCCCCACCCCCACCCCTCGGAAGCACAGGAGCAAGGTGATGCCTGTGGGGTTAAGTGGACAATGGGTCACTTTGCGTGAGTTCACTTTGGCCTCAGATGGATGGAAAAGTGAGCTGGACAAGAAAGCCAAGGGGAAATGCAAAGCAAAAAAGAAGGGAAGGTCTGGCTGGAAGATGCATGCAAAGTGTTTTACTTGAGAAAACCACACACACACATATGCGCGTGCATGCGTAGAAAAGCACAGAAATAGAACATTTCCTCTTCTAAGTGTTCTAGGCAGACACTTGTCACCCGGGTTCCAGCTCAGGGAGGACAGTTGAGATTAGCACCTCTTCCCTATCTCCCACAGGGCTTGGCGAAGAGAAACAGAGGGCTGTGCTGGGTTGCTGGCCTGGAAATAGGGATAAAAAACCAGGGTCCTGCCTGTGAGTTGCCACTGACCTAGGAGAGGATGCTCACATCTCCCTGTGAGTCCAACATTGCCAGAGCTGTGTGTGAAACACTGGTTACTATGTCCTTGGATTTACAGGGTAGCTCAGGAACGCCCCTATTTTACAGATAAAGTAAGCAAGATCCAAAGATGGTAAATAACACCGACAGTCTCAAAGCCAGTGAACTAGAATAGTTAACAATTGCATTATTATGTGAGAAAATAAATAATGGAATTAAAGATCAGGTTCTAATGCCAGATTGAACCAATGTATCCAGTATTTCTTCCTCCCAAACCAAGCCAGAACTACAGTTTAATTTTGGTTATTTTTTGAAAGACAGAAATACTCAAGGATGGAGAAAATAGGAAAGAAGCTGACGACCAGAGCAGAAAGACTGGGAGCTGTGGAACTGATGGACAGTGTCACTGACAGTGGAAGAGTCAACCAGAAGCAGTATCAGGGATGCCGACATCAACACACAGACTGGCACACAGGTACCCTTAGATCAGGGAGTTAAGTAGAAGGAGGAGAGATCAAACAAGGCTTTGGGGCAAGTTGTCAGAGAGGGAACTAGATTCCTAGATTCTCTGCTCACTCCACACCACTGAGGGACACTCCTTGCTCCCCATCCATGGGCTTTGAGACGGAGAACTCAGGAAGGGGGTTGAGGGGCTGAGGGTTGGCCAGCACACTGCAGGGTAAGGTGCCCTGAAGCTCACTGCCATACACTGATAGGGTGACTGTGTGCCTTGGCTGTTCAGCCTTGCCATGGAGACACCAACCGTCTTCTACTCGGCTCCCACAAGTTAGATGCCAGGCCTCTGCCTCCAGCCTAGATACAGAGAGGGGACTTTCTTGCCCCATGAACAGCCCCTTGGCCACTCTACAGTGAAGCCCTAAGTTGATGTGGGATCCCCTCACTGACTCAGTATTCACAGCTAGCTCTTTAGCACTTCACTTTTCCACAGGAGCAGATAAGCAATTATCTCCACACATCTGAGAAAAGCCCATCACCTGGGGGCGCGGTGGGGAGACAGCTTGGGGAAACAAACTGTGCAAGAAGACAAACATAATTCAGAATGGTTAACATCCCTAGAGAAATAAGACCAGAATGATACTGCCTCTATGAAGTAAAAACAAAGTATTATTTTAAAAAGACTAGCTGGGGAGCAAAAACAATACCTTAAAATAAAAAAGAATATAAGAATCAAAATCTATAGTTTTTTTAACTATAAACTCCATTCTAATTTATGTATGAGTGGTCCTATCTGTGCTCCAGAAAAGACTTAAGGAGTCTTACAAAACCCACACAGTAGACCAGCATACATTAATGTTGTAAAGGAGAAAGAAGGGGAAGACAAGGCCAGGTACCACATTCGTACAGAAAACTGTTCCATGCAGCCCTGAGGGAGATCACAGTGTGTCTGAATGTGACTTCAGAGGCATTACAGTATATTATTTCCATTGTTTTAAATTTCTATTGACTTTTCTTCACTGTAGTGTCAACTGCCACTCTATCGTGGGGGCCTCGTGCTAATGTACCATTGCCACCCACCTGCCTGGACCTATGGGTCTCTCTCTTTAGGAGTGAGAAACTCTTGAATTTTTCCAGGCCCTGTGCCCACAGAAGTGTTTTGTACTCAGGGACTTGTACAGCGTGTATTCTTTCCCCTATCTTTGTCTTCCTTTTCAGTTAAAAGGAAGGAAAGGCAGGGGTGGGGAGGGAGGAAGGGAGGTGGAGAGGAAAGGAGAATGAAAGAAAAAAAGAAGGGAAAGGAAAGGAAGAGAAAGAGGAGGAAAAGGAAGGAAACTCTAACCCCCCTGAGACCTTGGAAAAATAGCAGACTGAGCTGCCCCAAGAATAATCCCATTGGAAAGAACCTTGAATGTAAGTTTGACTGCAGTCAAAGACAGACGAAAAATTGTCTCGTGATTTGTGGTGATTTTGAGTCCATATTCTGCATCTCATGACCCTAACATTTAACATTCTAATTTTTGAGATGAGAAAGGTGCATTCTAAATTCTTTTGAATTTAGTTCAGTGTGGCAGAAAGGAGTGGGCAGAGGGAGGGTGATAATGAGGCAGGGTGGAGGAGGAAAGGCAAGAAGAGCCATTAAATGGAGCTAGAAAAAGCAGTTCTCCCTCATGGAAAAATTTTGATTTTGAAGTTTACACTCTTATTAACATTTAAATTGAAAGGTATTGCTTGCAACTCTACATGGGAAACCACGGTATCTGCATTTAAATAAACACCACTCAGAGAAGGAAAATATATATTGGGCTCTGAATGCTTTCTATTTGCTCTTTAAAG